AAAAATGTTGACTCTATTTTTCTTTGAATAAAATACATTCCAGTGCAATCTACTTATTGATTTTGAAAATACCACAGTTCTTTCACACCTTCAATCCCATTTGTCACTCTTGAGATCAAAGTTTTTTTTTTCAAGTAAAGTATGCAAAGAATCTGCATAAGAGTAAATAGAAGTTTTATAAATCAAACCTTAAGTGCTTAAATGCACTTTTTATTTCAAGCAGTAATTTAAAAAGTTGAAGCAGAAACATCATCTGGTAATTTGTACTACTGGAGAGGTACAAACAGTGAAAGTTACATTATTCCCTGTTGCTACTTTATGTCTAGGCTATGTCTATAAAACACAGAAAAAATACCATAATTACTTCAAATTTCATTTCAGGTATCATATGATATAAATTATGCATTCACAAGCTGATGTGTATCATGCACAGCCAGAGATGCTTCAAGGTGTACCTTCTTCAGCATGGACTTATCCTTGGGCCACAATCCCTTCCATACCCATGGCCATAGACACTTTGAGTGTCCTGTTCTGGTGAGGACTTAGCCAGGGCTACAAGTATTTTGGGATGTCCTGCTTTTGAATGGATTCATCCACAGGTCACAGTCCCTTTGACTCGAGATTCCACTGCCTGTCCAGTACAACAGCAGTGATTCTCTGGGCATCTGCCAGCCCAGACACATTTCCTTGCTGTTATCAAAGTGTTCCCAGGCACAGCAGAGTCAGATGATAAGCATCACAGCACTACAGCGAGCAGAGAAAGCAAAAAGTGGCCAGTAATAAGCACTGGGCTCTAATGTACAGTCAGGCAAGCAAGTCCCATGGCAAGTACAGGAGCCTGTCAATTAACAGCTAAATAGCAAGAACAGCTATAAATTCAATCTTGCCCATTCCAATGAAATAAGCCATTATCTCAAATCCTTCGAGCCCCACATTGGGTGACAAAAAGGATTGCTGTCGTTTAACCTCAGAGGATTCCCAGGACTTTTTGTCAGCAAATGACTCAAATGAAAAAAATCAGATTAAGAGAAGATGGATGTACAGGCAAACACAGTGAGAAGCTCAGATATCTGAAAAAGCTTTCTCAAAGTATGAAGAGTTATTGATGCAAAACAATTTCTTGTGATATTGGGGTTTTTGCCTTTTTGAGTCCTGCAGAACATTTTTTCCATTCAAATCAAAGTCTCATATTTCACCCTCATTGGTTTATGAGAATGTGCTTTCCAGCTACTTTGTGTCATTGTTACAGTATTGGCCATATGTGCCAATATTGTGGTGCTCACAATGAGCAACGTATCAAAACTCCAAATGAGTTTGCAGCTCACAAACCGTTATTTCCCAAAAAGGTGACCCAATCTTCCAAACAAAATGATGGCCTGGCTGAACTAATTCCAGTATAAATATTTCATCTTACTGTTAAGGTAGATTTAAGCAGAAACCGAAGCAGAATCCTCTGGAATCTAAAACATTTACAAATGAAGATTTACATTCCAGCATATTGCAGGAGTGACCTAGTTTACATGCATTTTCACAGCAGCATCAAACATATCATTAGTCTTTGCTTAAAAGACATCAATCATAATTACTATCTGGAAACAGTATCAGTTAAAGTGGATGAAAACATATTAAGACTATCAATAATAAAAGAATGGAACTACGTGACAGACATAATTTACAGATTTTTCAGCTGCTAAATCACTAACAGTATTTCTTGCTTCCAGAAAGAATTTGGTTTGTGTTTTATACATCAGGACTGATTCACTTGCCTCCACTTCTGTTTTTCATAAAGAGAAATAAGAATAAACAAGAACACATATGCAACATACTAGAAAACCCATCTTATTTCAGGATATTCAATAACATTAAAAGGAATAAAACTTGGGCAGCCCTGTAGCTGAAGTTGCCTGCTGAACACTGCATTCATTGCAATACACCATCACAGAGTGCGAGGCTCTAAATTAATAAAGTCTAGGGTTAAGAGTTCTTTGAAGCTGATCTAGAAAGCTTGGATATTTAACAATAGAAACAATTACATCTTTACCAATCTGCAAACATTTTTAAAGGAAGCAAAAGGACTGCAAAGCAAGCTTATCAGGTAGGACTGTGAAGAATTTACCGGACATACAAAAAATATTATATAAGGATTTATTATTCTTTTCAAATAGAATGTATCCTAAAAAGATGAAATTAGAAATTTTAGGCACTTGTGTGTTTCCAAAAGTATTGCATAGAAAAACACACGTACTCTCCAGCTAATTGTCTGTTAGTGGTCTCTCCATCTTTGTCTATATACCATGAAATTTCTATAAACAAACTCTAAATGTTACATCAGAAGATTATGTACAACTGCTTTGAAAATGAACAGTAGGATACTATGCCTAAAATAAGCAATTTTCATTATTCTTATTACCTCAATTGATGAACTTTTTATTTAAAAACATTTTAGCAAATATTTGTAAGATTTACTTTCTAGCAATGATCATTAATGGAAAATTTGAACAACAGTAAATATTCATTTATTTTGGCATTCTTGTCAGAAAAAATAGATGCTACCTTCACAGTTCTAGGTGACCTGCTGATTTTATTTATTTCTCCAGACTTGCTTTCAGACTTGGATGAAAGAATCACCTACGTAAAGCAAAACCGAAGGCAGATTTTCATCAAATATTTGCCATAGCCACAATTGTGAACCCAATCCTATCTTTTCTAACAGAAAAACTTCTTTGAAACCTGATGGATTAAAATAAAACAAAAAAATCAAAACAAACAAACAAACAAACAATAACCAAATCAAAACAGTTGTAACAACTTCTGCAAATTTTAAAACATAAAGTTTATTATTCTGTGCTAGTTATTCAATTTAAGACAGAAAGGATCAAGAAGTGAATGAAAGAAGGCTTGATTAAACACGTGTCTGTCATGACAACACTATGGTAAACAATCCACTCTTGCTGTGGATAAACATAAATCCTCCTGTTTAATAACAAATTGTCTAAGCATGTGCATCATCCCTGTAAAACTTTAAAAACATGATACAAATATTTTAAGATGAAAAATTTTGTTACACTAGGGTCAAGTTCTTATCATGTTGCATCATTGAGCTCAGTTGTACATGGCCGGCGTTTCTATAAACTACCAAAAAATCTCACTGTGGCAAAATTTCTAATAACTTGAGTTTTTTTCCAAAGCTGAAATGAAATAAAAATATTACAATTTGACTCAAAACTTCTTTTTTTTCCACCATTTTCATGTTAAAAAAATACACAGAGTTCAGTTTAATAATCCTGATTGTCTTAACATTAGGAGGAGGTAGATTTGCAGAACTGCAAAGTAGATAATGTGCAAGTGATTCGAAATTTTAAGTGGGAAATTGTGGCCTGGGGGTTGAATTCAGGTTCTGTGTTCTGTTCTCTGTCTCTGTGAATTTTCATCTGATGCTGTTAAAGAAAAACATTTCATTGTCTCACCTATCGTCTCCTAGAAAACATCCATTAGCAATGGAATTCCCTACAGATTCATCTAAAGATGCATGTGCCTGTTATTCTGGATTTATTAATTACAGTATTACCATATTGTGCATCAAATCAAAGCCAGACTTGATTACTAAAGAGTTTTTCCCCAATATTTCATTATATAGATTTTAAAAAACCCCTCCAATTCTCCGAAACTCATAAATCTAAGTCAATGATGATAACACAGTACTGGTATCTTATAAATATCTTGGTAACTTCCCAAAGTCATGGTACAACCTAAATTTTGTCAAAGCATGTAAGACAATATTTTATGATTCAGATGTCTGTGCAGTAGACTATGTCATGAGAGCTGGCAAGCACTTTTTTAATTCCTGCTTAGTTGAATCTCATTCACCATCTTTCTATGATTATTTTTATTATTATTTGAATAAAAATAATAATAAAAATATTTGAAAAAAATAAAAGAGACTGCTAATCAGACAATACAATGCAACTAATGTGTGGGAAGAGAATACTATCTAGAGGAGACGCACAGCATTGGGAATTTAACATCTGTGGTGCTCTCCTTGCCCTCTGCTCTGATTTTACAAGCCACCTCTCCCAGAAATGTCAGTGCATGGAAGGGAAGTATATAAAAGTCATGTTTTGCAAAGCAAAGTGTGACATCCTCATGATAGTCAAAGTGTTGAGAAAAGAGGTTGGTTTAACATAGGAGGACTGTTATAAAAAGATCTGTCAGATAAATATTAGCCATGTTTCCAAATCATACTCTGAAACAGTTTTTTACTTTTTTACTTGGAAGGACATGCCAACTTGTGAGATGACACACAGACACAGCTCTTAGTAAGTTTGAGCTAACAAGTGCTGGGTTCAGGATTTTTGTCATTAGGATCAGTGAAAATAGAGATCAGAAGCAGTAGCAGGGAGATTTCATCATATTCAACTAAGAGTATCCATCCCAAAGCAGAGTTTTCCTGGCCACCCTGTCAGTCCAGTGTACCCATTTGTGATATCCAGCTCCCTTGGACTTTGACAAGAACAGCAAAACTGCTTGCCTCACTTCTTTCTATGAAACATCATCATCATCATCAATTAATATTACTTTGTTATTAGTTATTATAATGTTTTCTTACTGTATTTATTATTTCCTCAACCTATGTGTCTGATTGCTCAAAAAGTGAAAAAGTAGAAATCCTCACCATGATTGATACAATCTACAGCTGGAAGAAAAAAGGACAAATCTTGTTTTCCAGAATATGCTATAAACAGAAATATAAAGCAAGAAAATTTTTTATGTACTTTCTTCCAGTCTTTATTTCAAACTATTTTCTGTTTAATTATTAATTTTGGGTTTTTTTTCTACTCAGTAAATGTCCTTGATGGCATTTCTTTTCTACTGGATTTTCAATGAGGTCAGATTAGTGCCTCTGGAACGATCACCTCTTCAAATGTTAGTTTTATATGGGATCGTACTTAACTCTGGAATCTTTGTTCATAAAATTTACCACATCAATGTATTCATAACAGGCCTGGATGAATGTGTAATGGAAACAAGGAGAGCACTAGGATCCTCCTCCTTCCAAAACACAATAGAAGAAGCCAAAAATGAGAAAGAGTCAGTGAGCACAAGCCAGCGCCCATACAAAAACAAGACAGCAAAATACTACTTGCAACAGCAGCAGTCATGCATGACCTACAGAGGCCAGAATTAGGGCTCGGGCTCTTTTGATCTGATGATACTGTAATAATGCAAAGCAAATCAATAGATTGGTAAGGAAATCAGGGCACTTCTAGCAATGGACACCACAATGTACTGATGCTTCATGTGGGCACTGGTGCTTAACAAAATATGCCTAATCCTGGTTGTGTCTATGTAATTTAGAACTTAATTCCTTATTCTTAAAAAATAGGCATGAAGAAACCCAATGCAGACTTGCTAACGCCCTGGATAAAGAAGATTGCCAGTTTGGTCAACCTGTGTTCTTCTCTCTCCTTCTACAGAGCTCAAGTGTTAACTGCCAAGAAGCATGACTTAAAGCTTGCCAGTATTTCAGCAAAACATGTTGCATGTTCCTGTCTTTTCCTGATTAGAAATACTTTGCTGTTAGCTAGCAGTGTTGCTCTAACTCTGATGTCTAAGAATATAAAAATTACATGATTTGTAAAGCAATGTGTCATCTGTTATGTTTGGAATAAGACATTGTGGGGTGGATTTACAAGTTGGATCTGTACAGAGCAGGCATCAAGCTAAGTACAGGTTAGGAATTACTGTTCTGGTTATTACATAAATTAATATTCCTTAAACACCTTAAGAGAGGAAGACAGCTAATCAAGTATGACAACTAGGAGAGATGACATCCTATAGAAGTGAACTTCTGTGGGAAAACTATGGGTTAATAGTTGATGAGACTACATCTAGTTAATAGTTGATGAGTATGGAAAACTACTACAGTGGTCATAAAATTTTTACTGAGCAAATACTGAGTCCATAGTTTTGAACACTGAGTGGGATTGGTACTTCGGGATCTCAGGTTTGCCTTTGTAGGTCTTTCCTGAGGATCAGGTTTCACATGTGAATAAAAAGAATTTTTTCTTCTTCCAGCTGGGTGTTTCCGGTTTTTTCTGAGTTAACCCTATGCTGGACCTGTTTGGTTTCACCTGCACCATCTCCACAAAGCCATTTTAATATCTCATGGATAAAATGGACCTGAAATGCTTATGTTTAGGATCCATGGATTGTGACAATTCTGTTGTGAAACTTCAATTTGCAACACTTGTATGAATGTCCTAGCAGTTACATACTTACCTCAACAACACAAGACCAACTTTTATGGATCAAGGACATTTCTCTAAGAGGTCAGATTGTACCTTTGAAAGAACTGTCTTCAGGCAGTTCCTGTCAGGGCTCTGAGTGCTCTAGCAAGCCTTAACTGGTAATAACAAGCCCTGACCAACCTCACCTGTGACCTCCATCCACATGTCTCCACTCATTCATCCAGTAGCTCTATTTAAGCTCTTGCCTGAGGCTCTGGTCCCTGTCTGAGCTGCAACATACCTGTGCCTGCTCACAACCATGTCTCCAGCTGCTCTGATTTAGAGACTGGTTTTGCTGGAGGGACTACAGTCTGACAAAGATGGTAGCCTCATATCATGTACTCTGGATTGACATTAGACCTAAGACACAGGATTGTTTCTGAGCCATCTCCTGCTGTTCCTTCCCAGCTGGACTCCCTGGATCAGGCTCATCACCTTGACTTCTGCAAGGCTGCTGGTGGACCCTGTCACTATCACTACCTCGTCCTGCTCCGGTCCTGTGGGACTGCACCCTGGTTGGTGAGCTCCTGTGGTTAACCTCAGCATCCATTCTTGCTGCTCTCTGACACCGGATATCACACAAAATTAGGGGGAAAAAAACGCCACAAAACTCTCACCAATCGTATTTTTATGAGGGAATCTGTATAGGAAATCATTAATTACACCATGTACCAAAAGTGGATGATAATTTCCAGTAAATTTTCCCACAATGTTTCCTTAGTGTAGGAACAACTTCCAGCCACCTCGATACATTGCCAGAAATTCAACTCTCACAGAACAAACACCAGATGAAACAAGACCACACCAAAGCAATCAACGCAAGAACTTCCAACCCTCTGTCTTTACACAGTAATGAGCCTGTCAATTGTTGCAAAATGCCTCAGTGCCTGCTAACTCATCACTTCTATGGGAGTTACTTAGCTATTTCCCACAACCCGATTACTCCTCTTTGTTCCATGTAGCTTAACTACTCTTTCCCTTCAAGTTGAGCAACGTTAATTAGGCTGTTCCAAAATAAATAATTTCCAGTCTGGTTTAAACCTGACGTTCATATGAGTTGTGCAAGAGCTGAAACAGACATCTTAAAAGTATAGATATATCTTATACAGAGAAATATATCCTCTAAATATATGTTAGTTTAGTAAAATATGTTTATTTTTTTCTTACTATAAGCTTTATTTCTGTAATCAAACAGAGGCCCTTATACTTAGTAATATATGGATTACTAGTATTTCTAAGCTTTACTGGAATTAGGCCACCTGAAAATAGTATTCCTATAACAATCATTATTTCAAAAGAAAAGATTTGGAAGATCATCTCAGAAAATTCACAGTAAAAAGATGCATGTTGGTCCTCAGGTACCTTAGCCATGAGAGCTGCACAGGAAGCTATGCGGAACAAAGGCATAAGAAAATGCTGGAAGTATAACACATGCACCTGTTTTCACCGAATGCAAAACTCTGGGGCCTGATTAGTCTAGAATTGAAAGAAAAATATTCATTCAGCATTTTAGTTCACCATTCGCTGAGACTTACAGAGTAAATGCATGTCTGTCAGTAGGGAAGGGAGCTAGGTCTCACACGGTTCCTCAGTATAGTTTCACCACCCGCCTGTGTGCTCTCAGGCCAGTCACTTTCCCTCTCTGGCTCAAATGCGTCACTTTGCATGGGAACATTATTGTGCTGCAGCAAACATAAATGTAGTAACACGTGTGAAATATTCCACTGCAACTTTCCTGCTGATTCTTAATTACCCACATTAAAAACAGTTTTCTCTAACTTACTAGAAACCAATTCATATCAGCACGTAGTTTTCTTTCCTTTGATAAATATTTTTCAAGTTGTTTTCACTCTTAAGAATATATTAACAAATTCCCCTTGGAAAATAAATTCCCAACATCAACTCTATGTTAGAAGTAATAATGGAAGTTTTGAAAGAACTGAGCATGGCTATTCCCTTTCACTTTTCCCTATCACCTTTGTAGTCGGTTTCACAGTTTTCTATGTACATCGGGAAATTCCAGGATGGCTCTACGGCATTGGCTCTAGTGACTTAAGAGCCTAAAACAACCTGAGGCTGTGTGACAGGCAGCACGACGCACACGGGCTGTGAGTAGTGACACCTTGGGAAGGTGTGCGCAGTGAGCTGCGAACAGAGAGTATGGACACCCTGTTGTCGGTCAGGTGGATGTTATTAAAAAGGAGGATAAATCCACGCTGTTGGGGCTCCGATGGGAGATGCTAAACGGCATTTGGAAAGCGGACCGCCTTCCATCAACAGCCGTGAGCGCTGTTCGCAGGCAGCGCTCCTGGAGCTCGACCCCGTTTCCAGGGGTGCTCGCAGACCTACAGAGCGCCGCTCACCTCCACGGGCACCCCGTGAAGTGCGGACATCTCGTCGCTTACTACGTTATTGTTACGGGTACACAACGCTTTGCCGCCCAGACTGCAGGAAAATGGGGAGAGAGGGGAAGGGAGAGAGGGATCCTGGCGTGCGGGAAGGACGCAACTCCGCCGGCCACCCCGCGGAAGCGCGGGCTGCGCCCCCTCGCTGATCCTCTCCCCGTCCCGCTCGGGGGCGGGGGGTCGCAGCCCGGCCCCCGCCCCGTGTCAGCCCCGCCCCTGCCCGGCCCGTCGCGCCGCCGTGGGCAGACGCGCCCGGCGAAGCTGTGTCGGCCCCTCCGCGGCCATGCGGCTCCTCGGCGGCGCGTCCTGCGCGCTGCTGCTCCTCCTGCTCGCCCCCGGCTCCCGTGAGTAGCGGCCGCGGGGGGACGGGCCGGGCACGGCGGGCTCCCCTCGCAGCCGCCCTGGCTGGGGGCTGCCGCGGCACCTCGGCCGGGCCGGGCCTGGTGCCGTCGCTGGCGGCCGGGAGCGGGGCGGGGGCTGCCCGCCGAGAGCCCGTTGGCGCGGGTGCCCCGCAGCGGGGCGGGCCGGCGGTCCCTGGCGCTCCTCCCGAGCGGGAGCCGAGGTCGCACCGCGCACACAGCCGGCTTCTCGGGAAACTGTGACAGGAACGGGGGGGAAGGGTTAATATTCGGGATGTTTGTTAAGGAGGAGCAACAATTACAGAAGAAGCTCCCGAGGAGCGGTTCGAGTCCGGGCTGCGCACTCCCGGAGGGATGCGCGGGCACGCCTGGGCCAGCTCGCCCGTGGCTCCGCTCCCGGGAGCGGGAGGCGCGGCGGGAGATGCCTCCGCACCCCACCGGTTTCCCGGGGCCTGGCAGGTGAATGGCGAGAGGGGCGCGGGGGAGCCCGGGGCGCTGCGCTGCCCTAGGCCGGGCCCGGCTGGAAGGAGACGCTCCCGGCCCCTTCTGGGTGCTGTTGTCTGGGGCGGTACTTACGGCGAGGGGCTTCTAACGGGGGCTTTGGGGTCGTCGTGGCTGTGCGGGTGGGACAGACGCTGTGCTTTGTCGTGTTTCTGTCAGGCGCTGGCAGCAGCAGTGCCTCTTTGTGATGGCTGGTTCTAGCAAATACACAGCCTGTGTTTGCTCGTGCTCAGCTCAGAACACCAGAGTCGGGATAATCGTTGACATGCACTGAAATAAAGCGAGAGATATAAAGGTCTGAACTGCCATGGTTGCCTTTTCAGAAGACTGTAATGCCCCATACGGTGCCCCACAATTTTCCAAAGTAAAGAAGCCAGAAGATACGTACCAGAATTAACCTGCCATGAATACCGTTGAAGAATCTCAGTCAGTCCAGCAGTGTTACTATGCTGTTGCTTAACCTGGTGAAGTTGTAGTAAAGTTGATACCAAAAAAAAAAATTAAAATGAGGAATGTAAACACCTTTATAATTGCCCTTCCAAAAAAAGGCAAATGTTTTTTAGAAAAAGTTTACAGGTAACCTATTTATTGCTTTGCTAAGATCTTCTGGCCCCCATTTAACAATAATAGACT